CACACACACACACACACACACACACACACACACACACACACACACACCGTGGGTTTCACTATGTGACCAGCAAGATACCCTGCTTTAGTATCCCAAGTAGCTGAGACTACTAATGTGTTACCACACCTGGCATCACACACACACACACACACACACACAAGCACATTTTTAGAAGTGTGAACAGAGGGAGAGAGGGAGGGAAGGAGAGGAAAGAAGAAACCCTCATGAAAATGTCAATAGTGGATAATTTTCTGGGAAAATAGTAGATAACTAACCCTGAGCCAAGGAAGAGATGAAAATATTGAAAATGCCGCAGGAAGACCCTTTCGTCTCTATCTCAAAGCAACAAAAAGGATGGGAGAACTCTTCTAAAACTATTTTTTATTCTCTGACAGTCACACACACAGTGGCCAGCAGATCCTCTGGAGCGTGAGTTACAGGGGTTGCCTGGTGCCAGAAACCAAACTCAGGTGAAGAACAGCCAGTGCAACTCTGTGACGGGCCTGCAGCAGCCCCCAGTGGATATGGGGGCTTTGACTGATGCCTTAGAAATACTCTTGCGAAAGCTGCACTGGAACAGCTGTGCTGTGGAACACGTTCTCAATGGCCCTAACACACTTCCTTGTTTATTCCAGATTCCTTCTCTGGGTCACTGTCATGGTCCCCACCTTTCCTGCAAGGCGCCATCTTGACCCTGTCAGTGCCGCCGGCCTGAAGAGCTGTGATATCCCCAGGAATGACTCACAAGTCCTGGGAAAAAAAATCCATCCATTTTTGAGGCCAGGTTTCACGGTGGAGACTGGGCTGGCCTCAAACTCGAAGTCCTCTGCTTTTGCCTCCGCTGAGATTACAGGCACGTGCCATGATGCCTGGCGTATCTTCGTGTACTTAAACATAGGTTCCATCCATCATTTACCTGTCATTCATTTTATGTACTTATTTATGTGTGTGTACGTACAGGTTTATGTGGGGTGTGTGTGTGTGTGTGTGAAATGCACAGGCCACAGCACAAATGAAGGGCAGAGGACAAAACTCCGGTGCTGGTGCCCCCGTCCCCTCCTGCGCAGTCTGCACGCTGTTGGCTGCTGGATCTGTACACCAGCGTAGCTGGCTCATGAGCTTTGGGGATGCTTCTATCTGGGCCTCCTGTCTGTTGCACAAGCACTATTACAGATGTGTGCTGCTGGGCCTGAATTCTGGGGATTCAAACTCGGGTCCTAATGCTGTGGCAAGCACGGTGCCCCCCAACCCCCATTTTGCTTTCCTGAGACAGACTTTTTTTTTTAGTTTGTGATTTGGAACTCCCAGTTCAGCTGGGCTGGCTGGTGAGCAGGCCCCAGGGGTCTTCCCGTCCAACCCTCCCCAGAGCTGGGATGACAAAGGTGTGATACCACACTTGGCTTTTTACTTGAATTGACCCCAGGTCCCCATGCTTGCAGCATAAACACTTTACTGACAATCTTCTCAGGCTGTCACTAATTTTATTTTAATGATGTTTTGAGATGGGGGGGGGTCTCGATGGGCTGTTAGGATTGGTCTTGAGCTACTGGAGTCAAATGGTCCTCCTGCCTCAGCGTCCCAGGTTGTTGGGACACAGCTGTGCAGCACTGTGACCGGCCTCCCATGGGCAGCTATTGAGAAACAACTGCAGGTCTCTGTGGCAGGCCCTGGGCCAGCCGCTGGAGAGCTAGCATAAAGAAAGCTGTTTCCCCTGGGGGCGATTAGAGTGAATAATCACAGATGACTCTGTAATGACAGTTTCCAGCACTCTGTAGGGAAGGTGAGGAATGGAAAGCAAGGATGAGGGGCCCTAAGGCTAACAGGAGAGCCAGTGCAAGGCTGTCCTGTCAGCAGCTTTCTCCCCATCTTGTAACCTTTCTTTAAAAGTGTCCCCTTGAGCACAGGGGCAGGCCTTGACACAATGTTGAACTCTTTAGACAGCATAAGAAGCATCTAAGAAATCTGGCTCCGCAAGATGGTTCAATTTCCAGAACCCACGTGGTAGAACGAGAGAACTGACTCCTGCCAGCTTGCTCTGACCTCTGTGTGTGCACCACAGTGTGTGTGTGTGTGTGTGTGTGTGTGTGTGTGTGTGTGCGCACACACACGTGCATGCGCCTGCATGCACACATTTGCACATGTACTAGAACATTTAAAGACACTTTGGCGGAGAGGTAGGGGAGCTGGGTGCCTGAGCCTGTCAGAGAGGTGAGAGAGGACTCTGGCTTAACTCAGGCCACCAGGGTCTTTCTGACTGCTATTTCAGGTTACTGAATGCTTCTGCTTCCTTCTTCTCATCAACCTGTGCAGGAGGAAGATGGAGAGCCACTTTCTGCCTCAGTTTCCTCATCTACAATGCAAGTACAATTTCAGTCTCCTCAATTATTACATAGATAAAAGGAGAATCTATAAAGGGGTTAAAGTTGTGGGCACCGTGCAATTTGAGATTGGACAAGTTGGACCTGGTGATGGACCGATGATCCCATTAGGAAGCGGAGGCATGAAGATTGTGAGTTCAAGCCCAGCCTGGGCTACACAGCAAGCAAGACTCCCCCTGAACCTTCACGCGGCACTCTGCAATACATGCATGTTTAACCGTGAAACTGAGCACACATGCAACACGAAGCTCAACAGCATTGTGAAACTGCTTTGGTTTCTAATCCTGGAGACCGGGTCCAAGCCTGCGGGAGTCACTGGCAATCACAGGTGTGGAGGGGCTGATTTGGAGGGAAGTTCTAAACGATTAACATTACTGTTTAACCTTACTCAGACTTTTTGTGGCTGAGGATGAGTCAACATTAGCTTAATTAAGACTCAAGGAGAACAGCAGTGAATGAAACGTGCGCCTGGGCTGAGCCTGGGGTCAGCGCCGGCCGCTCCGGCTCGCATCCGCGCTGCTCCCGCCCACATCCGCGCTGCCCCATCCTCATTAGCCGACGGCCCGTGCGCCCCGCGCCCATTGGCCTCTCTGACGGTGCGCTTCTCCTATAAGACGCCGCAGCTCGTCCGCAGGTGACCCTCCGAACTCCGGCGGCGCTGAGGTGAGTGGCTGAGCGGGCGGCCCCTCCCCGGGACCCCGGATCTGGGGACTCCCGGCGGGGCCAGGACCAACTCCTGAAGTAGCCAGGGGAAAGTCCTGCCTCTGTGGGCTCCACTCTCCTTTCCTCTTTGGGGGACAGCAGACTATTCTTGAGAACCGCTGTGTGCCGGGAGCAGACTCTATCCCACGTCGGATTTCGGCTTTGCAGGGAGCCCTGTGTCTGTGTGACTCCATGCCGTCAGGAACAAACACATTAATCTTCTTTCTTTTTTATTCCTTCTTCTTCCTCTATAAAGGGAACCCTCGCTTAAGTTGTACCAAAGGAAGGGGAGTCTCCGATGCTAGACCTCTCCGCACACCTGCACTCTGTACCTTCATCCTAAGTCACAATTGACAGACCCACAGATCCTTGAGATTCAGAGCTAGTTAGTAGCCCAGGTAAATTTAACCCTGATTAAATGTAACTACCCGAGTTACAGAGGTTTTAGGTGAACCCTTGGAATGGAGACAGAGGCTACAAGCCCCAGAAATCTGTGCCTCTCATCTGTTTCCCAGATGACACAAGTCTTGGGATGCCAAGGTTGGGATTTTTTTTATTTTTATTTTAAATTTTTTAATTATTTTTTTTTCAAGACAGGGTTTCTCTATGTAGCTCTGGCTGTCCTGGACTCACTCTGGAGACCAGGCTGGCCTCCAACTCAGAGATCCGCCTGCCTCTGCCACCACCGCCAGGCTCAGGGTGGGATTCCAAGTGTTCCAGAGCTCAGTCAGTGGAGTTCACACGTTGTAGCTGCTGCTCTAGATGACTCTGGTCCTCGGGGAGGGAGCCAGCCTCTCCCTTGCCCTTCTGTAGGCTCCCTCTGTGTCCTGTGTGCTGGCTTCTATTCTGCCTCCACTTTAGTCCCACTTCCTACTTAGAAAAGAAAACCAAGGTCCCCAAGGATTCCTTCCAAACCGTTCCTTCCTGTAGCGTTCAATCCTGCTTTCAAACTGTGCCCACACTTCCGAAAGCCTCAGCTGTGCTTCCCAGACGAGAGAACTCTAAGTCTCTCTTAATGGTGATGAAGCTAAGGAAAGAAAGGGTTGGGGGTGCACGCATCCTTTGTGATGCTCTGCCAAGGCTTCCAGTCAGTTGGCCTCCTTCTTGGCAGGTCTTATTTCCAGCTTTGGACCTTGCACATTGGGGCACCTCCATTCAGGTAAGGATCCCTCCCCGCCTGTGAGGGTGGCCCTGCCTGTGAGAGTGACCCTCCCTTTTATTTCACCTGGCTGGAAAGGGCTTAAAGGTGACTAGAAGGCTAAAGGGGGAAAGAAATACCAGAGAAAATCATGGGGCTCTAAGAAGGGCTTTGAGAGTGCTGGACGGATGCCCTTAGGCTAAGTGGATCAAAAGGCAACATTACCGGTGCTGTGGGAATGTGGCTGTTGGCACAGGCCTGATTTCAGGTCAGTCTGAAAATGTTCAGGACAGCAAAAGATGGACACTGTCAAAGACCCAGTGTACACTTATCCTCGCATTAGCTGATTTTACAAAGGAAACTGGAGGCCTGGCCCCCTTCTGAGGGAGCCTTGCTGTACTTTGGGGTGCAAGAAGTGTATGAATAAAGCATGCGGGGAAGCTACTCATGACAGGCAGTGAGGTGGGCCTTCCCTGAGGACCCAGACAGGGGCTGGAGTAACCAGGGAGCCTGCTGGAGGCTGGCTGGCATGCTCAGTGCCCTTAGTGGTGAGAAAGTGGAAGAGGAAAAGGGAGCGTACGGACACCTCAGGTTCCTTCGGTGGTGGACCATCTGGGAGCGGGAGGTGGACCAAGCAACAAGGCTGCCTCTGCTGCTAACACCCACTCCTCTGACCCTTCACCCTCCAGACTCACCATGATTGACGGCAATAAGGAGAGCAAAGAGCATTCCTCCGAAAGGGGGAGAGTGACTCTCATTTTTTCCTTAAAGAATGAAGTCGGAGGACTCATAAAAGCACTGAAAATCTTCCAGGTACGGACTTTCCATGACACCCATCTAAAAACGAGTCTTTGGAATTCTACTTAAAAATGTAAGGTACTGTCGGCTCCTCAGCGATGGCCTGCGGGAGTCTCTTCACCTGCCCTCCTGGAGTGAGCAGCGGTTAAAAACACTGGCTGTTCTTGTAGAGGACACAGGTTCAGATCCCAGCACCCCCATACCAGGCAGCTCCCAGGGCTCTGATGGCGTCTTCTGGGCACTGCACACCTGTGCTGCTCAACACTCCGGTGCACACACATGAAGTTAGTACAGTATGAGGGAAGAGCGGACACAGACAGCTAAGAAGGACACTGGGAGGAGCCACTGCGTAAACCTGAGAGATTCGGCGAAATAAAGTGCTTTACACTTAATGAAATGCCTGACCATGTGATATTGATATTTTTAAGGGCACATTACTGTTGTTAGGTGGCAGAGTAGCCAGGGTCCTGCAGCTTCATCATTTGCTACTGCCAGAGCCTCAGTGCACACGGCCCTTAAATATGCTTTCAGTTCAACACAGGGAGACGCGTGGGCTAATTTGCATTTATGAGCCTAAAAATGTTCCTATTTAATTTTTTTTTATTTCTTAAGTGTATGAATTTGTATGTATCGTGTTCTCTCTCTGTCTCCCTCCCTCCCTCCCTCTCTCTGTGTGATGTTGGGGAACAGCTTGCAGGAGTTGGTTTTCTCCTTCCACCTTGTATGTTCTGGGGATTGAACTCAGGTTGTCAGACTTGGTTGCAGGAGCCTTTACCTGCTGAACCATTTTCCTGGCCCAAATGTTTATGTTTTTGGCCCAGTAATGCCATTTCCTTGAACTGTCTTTGTGTGTGTGTTACAGGTACGCACGTGCAGAGGCCAGTGCAGAATACCACTGCCACTCTATCATCCTCTGCCTTATTCCATTGAGATAGGTCTGTCATTGAGCCTGGATGGCAGCCAGAAAGTCCCGAGATTCCCTTGTCTCTCACCCACAGTGTGGGGTTCCCAGCAAGTGGCTGCACCAAGCTTCTTCTCTGGGTCCTGGGGATTCAAACTCCTTACGCTTGTGTAGCAGGCCCTTCACCGACCAAGCCCTCTTTCCACCCCCTCTCCTACGATCCTCCTGATGAAATATGGGTGGATCAGGCAGAATGTTTATTGAGCACTTACTATGTGCAGGGTGCTGGGCTCTAAGTAAGAATGCAGATCTGAGCAAACCCACACAAGGCGCCTTCCCTCACAGAGAGTACGATCCGGCCGGGGAGGCAGACGTTACACAGACAGCTTAGTGTGTGTATGACTGTTATTATTATTACTATTAATAATAATAGCTGGTGGTCACTGGGAGTTCATCTTCTGCCTGTCTCAGTAAGGTAAGAGGGAACCCTGCCTACCTCGTGCCATTAACAATTAATGGCTAACCTGTTCAGAGGCCTGAGGTCGTACAAGGTTCACAGTCACTAATGTCGGCTGTCACAACGCAGGGTTGTCTCTGCGAGGCATGTTGTTTAGCCAGTCAAAGAGTGAACGTTTAAATGTAGACTGTCTCCAGAAGAGCCTGAGCTGGGGCGCCAGCCATGTGGCAGAGCCTCAGCCAGCTCCAACCTGTTTCTCTCACAGGCTTCTCTGGTGATGAGGTGTAGAATACAAAGATTGCTTTTGCTCCCTCCTTGCCATGTGACTTAATTTGTTCTCCAATGTGAACAATATTGATACTCTCCCCTTTTTCCTTCACCTTCCCCCAAACTTAATACTATGTTATTATTATTATTGCCTTACTGTGAGATAAACCTCCAGCTCTGAGCACAGTGGGCAAGGCTTCTGTCAGGTATAGCCTCATCTCTCTGTTTACTTATTATTTTGACAGAAAGTCTCACTAAGTTATCCAGGCTGCCCTCAAACTGAAGATCCTACTGCCTCAGCCCCACCAGTAGCTAGGACTGAAGGCGTACACTAGGAAGCCAGGCTTATATTACCATTTCTTATTGTATTTATTACCTTTGGAAGTATATACCTGTATTTTTTTTTCTTCCATCACTTTTCATTTTTCTTTATTGTTGGTTTCTGTATATGGTTTGAAAACTCAACACATTTCATAAATTTATAAAGAAAACACCAGTTTTCTGCTCTGTCTCTTATGGCTGTCATTTTACTTCTGAAGGGTTTGATGAGGTTTCATACTTTTGTTTAATCTTACATATTCTAGGAGGGAATTATTTTGCCATTAGTAGCACTAAACACACCTTCTTCCTCCCTTTTGGCTAATTCTGACAAGTGTTAAATTGCTTTTTAGTGCTAATAAAAGTATTCTTCTCAAAAATTCTTAGCATTGGAGTCAGGTCCATGTGGTTTTTACCCTCTGCTCGACACAGGAGAATCACGTGAACCTGTTGCATATTGAGTCCCGGAAATCGAAGAGAAGAAGCTCAGAATTCGAGGTTTTTGTTGACTGTGACATCGACAGGGAACAGCTGAATGACATCTTTCCCCTGCTGACGTCCCATACCACTGTGCTCTCCGTGGACTCGGCCAATCAGCTTGCTGCAAGGCAAGACGGTAGGTTTGAGAAGGCAGAGCGTCCCCTGGAAGAGCAAACGCCCAGTGTGTGCCCAGCCTGTGTTCATCCTGAGGACAAGGACATGAAAGGAAAGCTCTGTCTTTTCCACGTCCTCCCAGTGAGATTGTGAAGGAAAGACAAACTGTAGCTGCTCTGAATTCTGAGGAGAAACTGTGAGGCGGCTTTTGATGGAGGGCGGGAGTGAAAGAAGCCTTAGGTGAGAAGTGCTGGGTCAGAGGTCAACATTCTCTCTAAGCTCCTAAAACTCTGCTTGAACCCACAAGCCTGATTTCCCCATCCCTGCACTCTTCGAGCTTCCAGAGCCTCGTGTCTAACAGATTAAATAGATTAAATAGATACTTGAATCTGGGGGAATGTTGGCAGTGTCTGACATCAGTGATCTAAAACCTATCATGTAACACCCTCCCACCAAAAACAATGGCTTCAGTGATTGAAAGCCTGATAAGAGTTTAGATATTCAGATCGAAAAGACTAAAGCTAAGGTCTCCATTACTGACCACAAAAAAATCATTGTAATTTAGTTAAGACAAATGGGTTAATTTAGTAACTTTACACTCAGTGGGTCTCTCCAAATCCATCACAGCATCTGTGGTGCGGCCAGGGCTGCTGCTCCTCTGACACGCTTCCATGTCACTTAAACTGTGGAGTCACCTCCACTTCTGGCTGGCAGACAGCAACTCCCTGAGCCCCTGAGTGCCCTCTTCAAACAGAAGGAACACGCACATGCACACACGTTTACTGAATTGAAACAATAAATATATTTTGTAAAAATAGAAAAATTAGATATTTAGATATAATACTGTGCCTCAAACAAATACAGATATTAAAAGTCTTTCCTGGCCCTTACATGCTGGCCTGCAGAGTTCAAGTATCCTACTGTTCCTTCACAGAATAACTAGATATGTGTCTTAAAACGTTTAAGTGCTTGATACTTAAGTACAACGTTCTTTGGAACTTGGAAAATCAACCTGAAGGTTTAAAAAAAAAAATTAAAGCTAAATTTAAAATCTAATTCTTGGAAAGACAGTGGTTCATTTAAGTCATCTTTGTTTTCCTTCAGTATACAAGTTTCAGCCTCATCCAAGCGCTCTTGTTTCTGAATTTCTCTTTGTTAAGACAGTCTCCTCTCAGTGGCTTTGGGGTTTTATTTTGCAGTTATGGAGAGCATCCCTTGGTTTCCAAAGAAGATTTCTGACTTGGATTTCTGCGCCAACCGAGTGCTGATGTACGGATCCGAACTCGACGCCGACCACCCTGTAAATATTTTAAAAGTAGTCTGGTAAAAATAATTTAAGTCAAACTAAAAAGTAAGGGCAACTCTTAAACTTTTAAAAAGATTACAACTTTTTAAAAAAGGTTTATTGATTTAAATTTTATGTGTATGGGTGTTTTCCCCTGCATGTATGTATGTGCCTGAAGTGTCCCTGGAAGCCAGAGAAGGGCACTGAATCCTCTGGAAGTGGAGTTGTGGATGGTTGTGAGGCCCCGTGTAAGTGTTGGGAACTGAACCCTGGATCCTAAAGAGCAGCTAGTGCTCTTAACTGCTGAGTCATCCCCACAGCATCTAGGGGCAACTATTTTTTTAGACATGTTAATAGCATATGTTAGTTATACAAAATACTGAGTTTCATTATACTATTTTCATACATAAATACGAGGTTTTGACTATACTCACTCGGATTGCCCTGTCTGGTTCCTCCCCTCAAAGAGCAAGGGCAACTTGACTTTTCTAAACTAAATAGAATTGGGATTTCAGGCCTCAGCCTCGGTCCTCCATGGTGGTAGAACCAAGTCAGCAGACAGGAGAGTATCCAGCTTCCTTGTCATGGAGATGTGCTCTGTTCCTGGCATCCCGTTATTAAGTTATACCCAAGGCTGTGCAGCTGAGTGTCTGTAGTCATGTCCTACTAAAATGAGCTGGATTCTTTGACATTTCAGTAGCAATGGGTCAGAAACCCCTTACCGTGCGGCGCAGTTTGATTGACTGATTAGTTGGTGATCCAGGAAGTTGTTTCCTTGAAGAATTTTAAAGTTCCCTTTGATTACCTCATCTCTCAGCTGGTTCTCCTGCCTCCATCCTTGCCATCCTCACATGCATGAGCCATCAGAATGTTCTAATGACTGTTTTCTCTCCTCTTCTATACATCACCAGTGGTTGGTCCACATTGCATTGTTATTCATGGTAGCCAGAAAGTAGACACGACATGGTCCGATGCCCATCAACTGAGGAGCAGAGAAAGGGTGGGAGACAATGGAGCCAGGCAATGGAATATTCCTGGCCATAAAAAGGCACGCCAGATGGACGTGCAGGTTGTGCCCATAATTTCCATAATTTCAGACTGTCAATTTCCCAGAATTTGACAGTCTGAGGCAGGAGGATTATCTCTAGTCTTAGGTCAGCCTGATTCGTAGTAAAACCATGTCTGACAAAACAAAATGAAATGGGCATGAAATGCCATGCTACAGCATGGGTGAACCTTGAACAAAGCCAACCTCAAATGGCCTCATGTTTTGTGATTCAATTTACTTGGAGTATCCAGAAGAGGCACATTCATGGAGACAGAGTCGGGATGCCTGGTCCGCAGGCACTGGGGCTTAGGGAGGGGAATGAGGAAGACATAGTACAGTGTTTCTTTCTGAGGTGACACAATTTTTATGAAGTCAGATGGTACAAGTCTACCGCCATACCACCCTGAACACACCCATATGGTCTGAAATTAAAGGGTATGAATGTTTGCTGAGCACAGTGACAGGCCCATTGTCTCAGCCGTTTGCAAGTCTGAGGTGGGAGGATTACAAGTTTCAAGGCTAGCCTGGGCAACATGGCAAGATGTTGTCTCAAACAAACAAAAAACAAAAACTATGATCATGGTCGTTAATTTCTATGAATGTCTATTTCATGGCATTTTGGCTATATCTACTCAGTAGAGTGGCTAGTCTAAAGGAGATCACCAAGATAGCCCCAAGGTTGAATCCAAGCTCTGCAACAGACCTACAACCTGCTGGCCCCGAACTAGTCTTCGCCATGGTGTGGCTTGCATTTTGTTTTTTGAACATGTTTTCCTTCCTTTGCACTTTTTCACGTCCTTTCTGTCCTCCACCTGGCTCTCTCCACACAGCAGACACAGCCTGGGGGGGATCAGTGCTGGGAAGCTTAGTTCAGCTAAGGAACTATCTTAAACATTAATTTCTACTTTAGCATTATTTGCAGCGCTGGGCCAGGCATTCTAGGCAGACATCCTGTTGCATATTTACAGCCCAGCCTCACTGTTGTATCGCTAGTTTCTACCATAGGTGACATAACTGAGGATACGGTCACATGACTAAGGAAAAGCTAAGATCAGAGCTATGCACTGAAGGAGGGTGGGGCTTCTCTATTTAGTCTTTCATCTTTGTATCGACTGTGGGGCCTTTTGTATATTAAGTATCGTTTTCCTCTGTAGCCACTAGATGAAAAGGCTATCATGTAACTGATGATTTCAAAATAAAAATTGTTACATATCTCTAAGTGACACTTGCTTGAGGTAACAATTACGTAGTTCTTTTTTTATCTTTTTCTTTGTTATTATTATTTATTATAACTTACTCATGTAATTATGTAGTTCTTTAATATCTCAAGTCGAAACAGTGACATGTTCTTCTAAATGTCATTTTCAAGTACTTTTAGTTTCAATTTTTAATTAATTTCAATTATCAGGGCTTCAAAGACAACGTCTACCGTAGAAGACGGAAGTACTTTGCAGAGGTGGCTCTGAACTATAAGCAGTAAGTGTACTACAAGCCTACATATCTAACTTTGAGGTAACACAATAGCCAAATAAATGGAATAAGCTGTATTTACTTAGTAAATAGAGAGCTACATAAGTGTAAGTAACTAACTACAATGCAGAATTCCTCATGTTGATCTCATTAGTGGGGACCCCATTCCCAAGATTGAATTCACGGAAGAAGAGATTAAGACCTGGGGAACCATCTTCCGAGAGCTAAGCCAACTCTACCCGACCCACGCCTGCAGGGAGTACCTCAGAAACCTTCCTCTGCTCTCGAAATACTGTGGCTATCGGGAGGACAACATCCCGCAGCTCGAAGACGTGTCCAAGTTTTTAAAAGGTAGGGGGCCAGCAGAGCTGTGTTAGGGACCGTTGATCTGTTTCAGCTGTGGCAGTGTCGTGGAGGAGGAATGCAGTCTAGTCATGTGGAGGGCTAGAGTCTCCTGGAGTACTGGATCCAGGACCAGGAGTCACACTGAGAGAGGAGGCTCTCAACCTTCCTGATTTTATGTTGTGGTGACACCAACCATAAAATTATTTTTGTGGCTACTTGTTTTTTTAAAGGTTAATTTGTCATTTATTTTTATGTATATGAGTGCTCTATCTGCACATACATCTCCATGCCAGAAGAGGGCACCAGATCTCATATAGATGGTTTTGAGCCACCATGTGGTTGCTGGGGAGTGAACTCAGGACCCTTGGGAGAACAGACAGTGCTGTTAACCTCTGAGCCACCTCTCCAGCCCTTGTTGCTAGTTTTTAACTCTAATTCTTGTTATTGTTATGAATTATAAGGTAATTATCTGTGTTTTCTGATGGTCTTAGACGACCCTTTGAAAGGGTCATCTAGCCCCCTGAAGGGGTCACAACCTATAGGTTAGAACATGAGAACAAAGTGAGCAGAATTGCAAGGGAATTTGAAAATGGGTCACATAGGTAAAATGGGAAGGACACTTTGGGTGTTAGCTTGGAGATGTAAGGGATGTTTACTAAATGCTTAAACACTGGACAAATTGGAAACTCCACCAGATGACTTTTAAATAAAGGAGACCTTATTAGAAGAGCCGTGTGAAACCAGGTTTGTAAAGTGCTTAGATCCTATCGAGGGTATTTGTACCTGTCTGCAGGGATGTGGTAGAGGAGACTATGGTCTCCGATGGCTGTGTGGTCTCTGAGGCTGTGTGGTCTCTGCTGTGTGGTCTCTGAGGCTGTGTGGT